ATATATATATATATATATAGGGTTAGGTTCCATGAGAATGGAAGTTATGGTAAGAAGGGTAAAAATAGATCTCCACCTCTAGATCAATTTTAAATAAATATCAACACTAATGAGATGCACATAAATCATAGTTCTAATAACTAGTTATGGCATCGCTATGGTGCGTCATGGCGTCAAGAGCTTGGGTTCGCCACCAGGTTAAGCACTATGGTTCACTCATTGTTATGGCGTGTTATGGTGTCAAGACTTGTGGTACGCTACGATGCGTTATTTTGTAAGGTGTGAGATTATTTTAAAAATATATATTGAGGGATAAAACGATGATTATGTAAGAAACCTAAAACTTAAGTTTTCAATCATTGAAGCTCAGATCTTCTCCTTAATAACATTTTTTTGAAATTGTGGCTCCCTTGCGATTATACGAACTTCATGGACTAACAACAACCCATTTCGAAGGTTCTATTGTTGTTCGAACCCAGTAAGTCGTTGAAGGATGATTTATTCCAGCCCTCAACTTCTTTTACAAAATATGTTCTATGTAAAAAGATTTGTTGCAAACTACGGATTTGTTTAAGAATCCTAATTTTATCCTCAAACTTTCTTATTTTATAGGCTACCGACTGTGGCTTTGTTTGATGGCTTGAAAATGAAATGTGTCCACGGGCGATGGAGGTCAATCCTAGGTTACTAAGATCCAAGAACATGCTTGAAGCAAAGTTGAATGAAATGTTACTTGAAGCTCGTAGGTGGAAATTTGTCATTCATCATGAGTTGGTTGTTTAGTTTGTCATTTTTGTTCTTAGTTGATTTTTAACCGTGTAATGGTCAAATATAAATGTAATCGGATCTTCTAGTATTTACTCTATCTCAGTATGTAATGTGAAATGTTCTTTAATACTCATTTAGGGGCAGTTTACCTAAACACTTACCCGGTAAGTACTAACCGGTAAAATTCAACATTATCTCTTACTTGTCAGGTAAGATTTTATTCACTAAAACACATCATATGCAACAATTTATCCCAGTAAGTGCTAACCATGGTAAGAGTCCTCGTTCTTACTTACCGGGTAAGACTCTAGATTCTTGTCTTCGCTCTTACCGGTAATTATTAGCCCTTGCCAATTCATCCGGTAAAGTAAAATGACTTGGTAAGCGCTTACCCGGGTAAGCGTTTGGTAAACGGCACCTTACTCATGTTGGAATGGTCTAAAATATTTCATACCTGTTTACTCATGTTGCCAAAAACATGTCAATTTTTGGAATAGAAAAACATGTTATTCATGTTGCCAAAAAATATGTCAATTTTTGGAATAAATAAACAACCTCTTTACTCATGTTACCAAAAACATGTCAATTTTTGGAATCAAATGTAACACCCTCAATTTCGCCATGAGTAATGTTATTTCACCACCAACAACTTATCTATAATAACTCCAAAATAGAGGCTAAAATAAAACCGTTTATAACAGAAGACTTTAAAATTGTAAACATGCAACTTAAATGTTAACCTGTCCTACATTGGGCTACTTTACAAAAAATTTCCAACATAAATATTGAACCTTAATAGACATGGCAAGTATTTATGCGTGCCATTTTTCTTTTTCCAACCATGAAAATTCTGTTCATTAAATGCATACTATAGTCAGCTTAAAAAACTCAGTGAGTTCATGATTTATGTGTATAAAAGCATTTCACATTTCACATGTCAACTTGTAAACTATGTATCAAATAGTATGTATTTCTAAAAACATGCAACGTTGAAACAAGTGAGATCTAATAAAGTTTCTGCATGGGTATGAGTCATTTTGTCATTGAGATGCCCTGGGTTGAACTTCTGTTCTATTCGATCACCCACTTGTCTGGGTCGTGCCACTTGTCTGTGACTTACTGGTCAAATATCCACCTATTTAAACTGATCAAAATTCTGTCGTATAAAGCATAAAGCATGTAACTGGTCATAAAAATCATACATGTAAAAATACTATAACATGTATGAAAATTGAAACGTTGTGGATACACACACATCACCACACAAATCAAAATTCTATCGTATAAAATGCATGCTAGAATTGCTAATTTTTTTAACATAAAGCATGTAACTGGTCATAAAATCATACATGTAAAAATACTGTAACATGTATGAAAATTGAAACATTGTGGATACACATCACCACACAAATCAATATAATGTTGATTTTTTTTTTGTATGCAGGTATGCATCCTATTATAAGTAATGAAGACTCACTTTATCCGTGTAGATGGACTACTAATAGCTCATGATTGAAGACCTACACGTTTCATATCACCATATCTAATTAATGACTTAATCCCTCTAAAAGTCAACTATGGTCAAACTTGACCCTACCTAAAGTCAAACTCAAAACTCGAGTATCTTAATATGTCTCAAATATCTCGATTTGATTTCATCATTAAAATCCTCATGAGTCAAATGAGGTAAAAGTCGACCCTTAGTCAACTTGGTCGACCTCAACTAACTTTAGTCAAACATCAAGTCTGAAATTTGATGATGTCCCAAAACGTTATGTAACTATATTAAGTTACAATTCTAGATTAAAGTGTCTTAATATCATTTAAATCCAAAGACAACACCCTTTTAATACCATTATCAAATCACTTAATAAAATGACTTATTATAATCATCCCCTTAAAAATATATAACTAAAATCTCAAATATCAGACCATGTTGGTAATTTTATAAAACAGAATACCCAAGTATTGCTTAAAATACCCAAGTATTGCTTAAAATACCGATTCTTTAATTATAGCGGCACTTCGGTAATTTCACAAACTGTAGAAACTAATACCGGATCAAAATTATATATTATAAAGTCAACGATGTTTCTAAAAAAATTTAAAAAGCTTTTATGGTTGAAATCACTTTTTTAAAAGTCCAATGACATTAAATAAAACTGATACAAAAATACTTAATAATAAAATCAGTGAGCCTATTTACAAGAGAATACCATTGGTGCTACCTTGAAATGTTATTGGTTTATAGTAGAGGTCATAGGCTCAATTTTAACCTCATGCATCTCATTTTCTTCTCTTTTTATTTTTGTAAAGAAGAAGATGATGTAATAAACTTAATAAACATTTTGCTCTCATTATTTAACAAAAACAACCATTAGCTGAGATGGTTAATACTTCCATGTTGCTAAAAACATGTCAATTTTTTTAAATCAAACAACCACCTGTTTATCTTGTTGCCAAAAACATATCAATTTTTGGAATAAAAGAACAACATGTTTACTCATGTTGCCAAAAACATGTCAATTCTTGAAACCTATTGCCACTTGTTGCCAAAAACAAGTCATATTTTATTTGAAAAAAATGTGTTTAGAACAAATTAAGTTACCAAAACATACATCCATTCAGTTCCAGATTAATTGCCAAAACATACTGTCATTCATTCATTCATTCCCATAACATATTGCCATTGCTTTCTAGAGTAATCAACATATACATCACCAAAAGATTTGATCACCAAAAGACACTAAAGCATATTACCAAAAGTGCTGACTACCAATGTTCTAATTACCCAAAGACATAACACATAGCCTATGCAACACAAACTATCCAACATAAGTTAACCCTGTCTTCTTGGCCTTTGCAGATTCTGGAGTTATGACCTTTCTTTAAGCACTTCTTATAAGTAACTGCCTTCCTACACCTTAAAAGTTTTGATTTCTTGACAATTGGTTGTGATGCTTAGGTGCAGGGATAGTGATGGTTTAATCAGATTGAGGCCAATGCTCTCTACCACTTATGTCTTGAAAGTAACAATTGAAGTTTGGCTTGAAGTTGCTCTTTTAGGGCTCCAACAGGAATAGTTGGTTTAGGACGATTATTCCCTCTACTGAGAGAAAGGATGACGTTTATTTCAACATATTCAAAATATCATTATCATTGCCTAAGGTTCCAAGTCCAATATCTAGGTTAGATTCATGGGTAAGAAAAAGTCCATCAACTAAATCAACAAATGTAGTCTTATCATCGATATACTACCTTTTCGGATGCTTGATAAAAATCCCGCCATGATGTATCTTCAATGTAATCAGATTAGGATAGTGTTATGCAACAGAACACCTAAAGTCAACAAATTAAACCCACTATGATGTATCTTTAATGTAATAATACATATTTAAGTTCAAGAACTTTTTTAGCTAAAAAACCTAAATTCTTTGCTTACCATATATAAATGAAATCTAGATCAAAATCTTCATAAAGCTTCCGAATCGTCCATATTGGAAGGTGTATCAATGAAGTCTTTGAAGTTTTTTTTGAAGAAGGTGAAGAGAGAGAGGGTAAACAATAGGGACGAAATACAGAAAAAGAGGTTTTTGTTGGGGTTATCGAGAAGGTAAAAAAGGGTTTTAAAGAGAATGATGGTTTTGCCCTTGTGTGCAACCCACGTGGTGTCCTTAACGGCATGTGTGCTAAACGGTGTTAGAGGCAGAGACCGAGTCCAGTCGTTCTTTCATACCATAACAGCTATCTTGTAATTTTGAAAATGTAGGGACTAGAAGTGTTACAAACAAAAACCACATGGACCAAATTTGTAGTTTAGTGAAAACACATTGTTCTTGGGTACGTTGTTTGAAATTAAAAGCATCGTGATCACGTGACAAAATATGCCGTACTGCTTCCAGAAATTTGTCAGATGGGTTTCAGAAATGAACCTCATCATTTTAAAATTGTTCAGAGTTTGATTTGTTCAACCTTCATTAGATTATGAACCGATTGCTGAATTAAAATCCCAAAAGCATGTTTAGGTACTGTCGACCTACTAGCTACAGATGTAAACATGGGAGGTAAACAGTCGTTATAAAGAATTCTATCAAGCATAAAGTACTTGTTAGGTTTACCAAGAAAAAGAACTGTTTGATTTAAATAAACCAAATTAATGAACATTTATTATTAGTCTAGACCGGAGGTGATAGCCATGCTTGCTGGTTTTACATTTTTCTTAAGACATAAATGAAGCAAGAAATTGAACTCAGTTTCTATCATTAGTACCGATTAAAAGGCAGTCTAGACGATTTATTAGAAAACTGGGGAAGCAGGTGGAGAGGCGATCATGGCTAAGTTACTAGTTAGACTATTCCAACCACCATCCAGAAGGTCAACGAATTCTTCCCAGAAATCAGGGGATCTTAGAGGATCGGCACCGATGAAAGTTGCATCATTAGGGTACTCGAATTCCTCAAACGGTCCCATTTGGGTTTTGACTTGATCGTTATGTTTTGTGGTCACCCCTTGATCACATGAACTCTTGCTTTCGACGTGGCTTATTTCTGTCATGGTCGTAGGTGTGACGAGGGAAATATTTTCAGAGACATTTGAGGTGGAGATGAGTGATTGGAGACTCTCGTTGTTGATAGAGTAGTTTGACCATAAGGTTCCTTGCCATACTTTTAGCACATCAAGGCATGGTAGATATGGTGGTGGAACCATGGTGGGTGCTTTGTGGAGCTCCTGAGTAGAAGAAGGTGAAATGAGATAGGGTGGTGGGTTTGGATAGTACTTGGGCTTCTGAACAAGCCTCGCTTCTGCTTCAAGCCTAGCAGCCTCCCATTGAGCCATGTGGTTCAGGTTGGAGCCCAGCAGCTGAGTTCCACTCTTTGGTTTGTGGGTCATTGGATCAATACCCATTTTAGTCATCCGCTTTTTGATGTGTGAGTTCCAGTGGTTCTTGATTTCGTTATCAGTCCTTCTTGGCAAATGAGCAGCAATGGTTGACCATCTAAAAGTAGAAAGGAGAGATTTAGAGACGAAATCGTTTATATTATAAAGATTTTGCGAACCAGATGCATGGTTACACTAATGGTAACCCTTTGGGGTATGAATCAATCAAATGGTACCTGTTGCCTAGAAGAGCATGAAGTTGAATAATGGTCCTTTCTTCTTCCAGACTGAACTTTCCTCTCTTGATATCTGGCCTTAGATAGTTTGTCCATCTCAACCGGCAACTCTTTCCACATCTCTTAAGCCCTACATAGCATCAAATCAATGTATATTCATTCAGCCACTAAAAAACAAGAAGAAAAAACCACTGTATTTGAAGTGGCCGCTGGTTACATGTAATATTAGTTAAGGTTTAGCCATTATATGAAAAATATAAGATGCATGCATGAAGAAGTCATTTTGGGTACCAGCTTTAGCAGGCAAAGAGCGCCAACTTCCGTGGCCATATTGTTGAATGTAGGACAGTAGCTTTCGGTCTTCTTCAGGTGTCCATGGCCCTTTCTTCACCCCTACTCCTAACCCCACCATATTGCTATTGCTATTGTTGTTTTGTTTCTTTTTCTTCTCACTGCGACCTGATCTTCCCATCTTAATCTTTCCCCAAACTACACAACTCTCTAACTAGCTACTCCTACCTTCTTTTCTGGAAAGACCCTACCAGCTTATTCTTACTAGATATATTTCACATGCATGAATCTGGGTATTATATTAAGGACACAGCACAGCACACAGAGACAGATATGAGAGAGAGTTGAAAAGGAAAGGCGAATATGGAAAGGATAGTTTGATTGTCTGGAAAAGAGATGGTTATATAAGGGGAAGAAATGGGGTTTCCTCAATTATGATAGCCATATATACGAACAGTTTATGCAACCACAATAGTGGTTTGTAGCTACCAACTTTTACAACTCAAAACAAAGAAACTTCTCTTCGTAACTGCACAAACTCTCATTTAACATACACGTGTTTGCATGAATGCATCATAATGTATGAGCTAAGCAAACTCAATCAATTTAATGCCACAAATGTGGAAACAATGGCGATCATTATATGAAACAACCAACTGCTAAACTAGTAAATCACCATCATCAGCAAAATATTTATACCTTATTGATAAATTGTCAGTGTACATTTCATCAATCCTTACGCGTGGTTGGTCTGTTTTGATTGGCCAAACTGTGCTTGTACGTTCTGAATCTACTTATTATAGCATACAACTCAGCAATACCATATACCAGTAAGTTCATATTTTCCTTTTCTTATTTGGGTTCTCTACTTATAACAGGAGTTAGGTCCCCAACCATAACAAGAATTTTTTATATTTATATATATATGGTTGTTAAGACTCGTACTGCTACAGCAGATATGGAGTATAATATCGAATCTAGAGATCGAAAAATGGTGGAAATTTTCATCAATCACAAGGGTAAACAGGTAAAATTTACAATAATATATCTTTAAATAAAGAACTTTGCATTTTTATAGAACAATCACAAATTAAAGTGTCATGATCTCCACTTCATTTTCCCTTTTCTTAATTTGTATAAAGGTGTCTTTCGTTTAGTTCCCTATTTTTATTTTTTGTGTTACATTAAATCTTTATATATACTTAAATAACTAAGCATAAAAATAAAAAGCAAATATCCGGATGGGATCAAGAGATTTAAAACAATAATATGTTATATAAAGACGATTCGTGCACTACTTTTTACGATAAGTTTTAGAAATTTGCTGTTTTTTACGTCTTGGAAATTAGTCTGTATTTTGAGAGTTGTCGTTATAATATTCAAGCAACTTTTAGAAATTATTAGTAGAAGAAGGCTAGTTGTATATTAAGTAGGAAATTTGAGTTCCTATATTAAATGGAATAAATAATCTTATGTCCTCAAACATTATGATAATTATGTTTCACCAATCTTATCAAAACACATCGTTATTAAATTCAATCGAGCTCTATGTCTAATCTAATGAAAAGTAATGGATTAAATCTCATTAGCAAGAACCAAGGGGATAGCAGATTTATTGCCGAAAACTTTCTCATTTATGCTTTTCTAGATAACCTAGACCTAGAAAAAAGCCTATATCACGACATCTAGGATCAACCTCAGCTTTGGAGATAAACTGCTGAAATTCAAAGACTCCAAGAGATGCTCCACACTTAACAATCAACCGGAATCAGAATACACTAGCAACTCAATGCTTTTCTGACTTCCATGGCACATCTACGCTCGATAAACAAATGATGCGACGATTCCAAAAGGATGTTGCAGAAAACATACTCATAAGACTCCATCGAGACCCCTCTAATGCATAAATTATCCCTTGAGGGAATTCTCTCTAATCTGATTCGCCAGTAGAGAACCTAAAATTTTCTAGGAACATAGTTGTTCTACACGACAGGAGGACCACACGTTCTAAGCCCCATGTCATCGACAACCTTCCGAAGAGAGTCAACAGAAAAAAAAACTAGATCTATCCAAAATTCCCAACAGTCTTCACATTTCCTAAAAAACGTACTAGGAACATTGATCCTGAAGTAGCTCCAATTCACGAGATTCACAGCCATCACAGAGGATTCTACACCAATCCCACGAAAAAACAAGCCTAACTGCAGAGGCAAACACCCTATACGCCACCGAACAACCACGATTTCTATCTAACGCCACCAATCTCGGGTGTAACTCAGCCAAACAAACTTGTTGCACCACAGATCATCCCAAAATCTAGAAACACTATGAAATTAACCCTAGAAACGCTATGAAATTATTGAATAGAGATGCACCTCTAGCTCCAAACCCCGAGCCTTTTCTTTCATCATCATTTCTGATTTTGTTAAAATCACCACAAAGGACCGAGATAACGTTTGATCATTTTCGATAACAACCAAAATTCTGTTCCAGAGACATGACTTGCTGCTGACACTGTTTGGAGCGTAAACATTAATAATACCATATCTTTTGTCCATGGCACTCCATTTACCTTTAATAACCAAGAAAATGATGTCAGAATTAACATATTCCATCGACAAAATAGAGTGGTCCCAAATCATCCATAACCACTTGAACAACCAACTGGCTTAGAAACATCGTACAAGCAGTTGTCATTGCCCCATATGGCAAGATGGTAGAAAACTCAACCTAAGACTTCAGTGTTTCTTGGATGCAGTTGACATTAACACAATTATCTCTTTTAAGCTCCTTGATCCAATTTTTCTTGACTTCAGACGCCACATTATTAAGATTAATAGACAATAACTTAATCATTTGGACAAGCAAGTACCCTTCTCAACGATAATATATTTGATGAGAATCGAGGTCCCCACCATGTCGAAACCTACCTGATTACCAATCCCTATGGTCTTATAGATTTCCTCCTAAATGAATTGAAGAGGATACGACCTCCAGATCAATGGAATTCTTAGTACCAGCAAGTCCAGATTTGATTCGAAGGTTCAAATGGAGAATAGGGGACATGGAATCAGAATGTTCTTCTTCATCTATATTCACCATGAAAGAGTCTCCAACTATAAACCTAACAATTTTTACTTGTTTACATCCCTGATTCCAGTATTTTTTTTACTGCACACATATGGCTTGGCCATGTTTTCATCTTGCAATTCCTTTAATTTTTGCCTATGCTATTATCTCTCTTGAAACTTGCAATTGCAAATCTTCAGCCTCCCTATCTTTGAGATCTCCTTATTCTTCAAGATCACCCTTCTACACCTCTATATCATCTGCAATATTGATATTGTCAACCACAAAGGTGATGTCTGATTGGGTTGAGCTCCAAAGGTAAAATTACCTGGAGGTCTCATATTCAAATACGATGACTTCGGGCTACCCCCAAAGCAGACGTTTGCTCTGGGATTAGTCGACTCGCATAACAGGTTGAATATCCAGGTTAATCAAAAAAAATATTGATACAGTCTAAAGAGTCATATGGATCAAAATTAGCAGATGAGTCCTCAATCCCTCTAAGATGCATGACATTAACGTATCTCACTGAAATTACTAGAGTTCCCATTGAGTTGAAGCAAGCCCCATAATCCCAAATTGCATTATTTGGGTTGGGCTTCTCTTCTTCTAACGACTCCCAAAGATGGGTCCCCGACCTAAGATTATTAAAATCAAATGACCCAAAATCCAAAGTGGTGACATGAACAACCTCATCATTCGGTGACTCTACAGTTTCTCTCACGTGCATCGAATTTGGAACCCTAGAATTTATGGTTCCAGTGTTCCTGTCTCTGCCTGCCAGACCACCTTTCGTCGACTTCATATCCAGTGGCACAAACCAGGGGGTCTTCTTCTTGTAAGCCCTTCCCTAGTTATGTTGTCTTCAAACCATCATCTTCCTTGACCTGTGATTCCGAATGGGATTCCATGATGAAATTAACCAATGAGGCTCTAGATATCTCATCCTCCACATTTCAATTCCATCCCCCCCACATGAACCTTCATTGGGCACAGCTTGACCTCTCAAGACCTCTTCAAAAAGGAAGTTTGCATTTGTTGAGTCTTCGAGAACAAGTCTCACTGGAACACCATCAATAGACACCTCCAAAGATTCTTTAATCTAGTCTATGTGATCTATGATAAATGTTATCTTCCAATGCATCCTACTCCCCTTATAACAAGATTTCACCTGCACAACCTGATCGCACTTCTTGGCTACCATCTAGAAGGCCATCGGGCCCCAATCCTACAAAGGGAGTTCTTAAATAGAGATGACCACCGCGTAGACACATAGACTAAAAAATCAACACTTCCATGAGCCACCTTCCTTGTTGATGAATTGCAGCAACACTGAAAACCCACTAAGATACTTTGAAGAAACTCACGGAGCATCCTTCTGCTTCATTGAACAACTGTAGGTTTTTTAGAGTGGCAAATGACTTGACTTTACCAATTAAAGCTCCCATAATACCTCTAACCTCAAAGGATGACACCAATTTTAACTTAAATTCACACTTCCCTAGAGGAACCTTCTTGCGGATTTCGATTAAGAAGACTTGCCATCAGCATGCAACTCTGCTCCTTCGATGGCTGGTAGCGTTCCTTAACAATGTCAGCCAAAGATCTACCATCTTTTGTAGAGACCTTGCTTTTCAGTCTATTCTTCCTTGGATCTTCAGAAAAATGGACGCGATTAAAATCCTTCATGCTATCTTTCGCCTCCTTGCTTCTAATCCATTTTAAAGATTTCTCTCTTAAATTTAGCCATATTAACTCTAAGTTCAAACTTCTCCTCCCAGGTACCATTTAGGTTCTTCTCCATCTTGACCGAGTCTTTAACTCCCAAAAATCTGGCAAAACCAAACCTATACTTTTGCACTGATGTACATAATCTTGCAAGTCAAAATCAAATATAACTAACGTTAATCCATCTTAATTAATCACATAGATGATTCCTACCGGTTTGATTATGTCTTTAATTTAAAGCCAATCATTAGCGCTAACCTAATTAACCAATATATAAACCTCACATGACGTCGTGTAACTGTAATCATCTCTAACTAAATCCTATGTATTAATATAAAGTTACTTATGGTTGTTGTAACAATGGAGGTTTACGTTCACTTTTTG